ATATATATATACTTTTTCCCCTAAATTGGTTAAGTTTTAGTGGTGAACACACTGGCCCTTTACCCCTAAATACATTGGTGTATATATAAAACAAAGAATTATTTTATATAACACAACTATCAAAATCAGGAAATTAACATTGATCGGCTACTATTATCTAATCTACAGATCTTACTCAAATTTTGCAAATTGTCCCAATAATATTCTTTTTTTAAAAAATATTTTTATTTATTTATTTATTTTTTGAGGAAGATTAGCCCTGAGCTAACATCTGCTGCCAATCCTCCTCTTTTTGCAGAGGAAGACTGGCCCTGAGCTATTGTCCATGCCCATCTTCCTCTACTTTATATGTGGGACGCCTACCACAGCATGGTATGCCAAGCGGTGCCATGTCCGCACCTGGGATCTGAACCGGCGAACCCCGGGCCGCCGAAGCAGAAGTTTCAAACTTAACCACTGTGCCACCGGGCCAGCCCCTCAATAATATTCTTTATAACGCCCCAGGCCACCAAGAAAATCTTGGCTCACGCACTGCATTCAGTTGCCGTATCTCTTTAGTCTGGAACAGTTCCTGAATCTTACTGGAGATATTAGCTTTGATCATTTGGTTAAGATGGTGTATACTAGGTTTCTCCACTATAAAGTTACTATTTTAGCTCTTGTAATTAATATATATCTTTGTGGAGATATTTTGTGACTATGATGCTACAATTTTTATATATAAGTTAAAAACATTTACAATAGAAAATATATACTTTTTATAAATGTACAATGATCCAATAGAAAGTGAGAGAATAAGGAAGACAGAATTCAGGATGATGGTTACGTCAGGAGGCAGAAGGTAGACTTGGAGGATGTGATATGGTTAGACACAACTTACTGTCAAGGAACTAGGTTTTGTTTTTCTCAGTGAGTTTGCAAATTGCTTATTATGATATTAAAAGTAAACGAAACAAAAAGGAGCCATTGAAACACCTCTGATGTGTCATGAACCAAAGATTACGATCAATCTGATTTTGTGAACCCGAAGACCCCCAATTTCAAAATAATAAAAATATAAAATAAATTAAAGCTATACATATTAACATGGATAAACCTCAAAAACATAATATCGACTGAAAAGAGCAAGTGAAGATGGATATCTGTAGCATAATTTTTATGGAGATATAGATAAAACATGGATGAATATTGTTAACAAATTCAGGATAGTGGTCACCTGTGGGAGTGGAGAGAGAGGGTAAATGGGATCAAAAAGGGTTACGTGTATGGTGTCAACTGTATTCTTAATGTTTTGTTAATAAAAACAAATATGACAAAATACTACGGTTTGACAGATCTGGTGGTGGGTACACAATGTTCATTATATTTTTTTCTATACTTTTCTTTGTACTGGTATATATTTCATAATTTGACAATGAAGTAAAAGAGTGATAGCATCAAAGATTACAGATGGGCAACCAAATAAGTGAAGCAAACGAACATGATAAGGAGAAACATTTAGTATAGTGTAGGAACACAGAACTTCGCCTCTGAAGACCTGGGTTTGAGTCCCTGCTCTATCTCTTACTGTATGTGTGAGCTCGGGCAGGTTACTTATTACTTAGTCACATTAAGCCTCAGTTTCCTCTTCATAAAATAGAAATAAAGGGCTTTTTTTTTTTTTTGAGGAAGATTAGCCCTGAGCTAACTGCTGCCGATCCTGTTTTTGCCAAGGAAGACTGGGCCTGAGCTAACACTCGTGCCCATCTTCCTCTACTTTATATGTGGGACGCCTACTACAGCATGGCATGCCAAATGATGCCATGTCCGCATCCGGGATCTGAACCGGCGAACCCCGGGCCACTGAAGCAGAACATGAGAACTTAACTGCTGCGCCACTGGGCCCGGCTTTTCTCAAGGTTAAACGTGTACTGCTCCTAGAGCACTGCACAGCTCATTATGCATGCTCACAAAATGTTAGCTGTTATTATGTTTACGTGTTTTCAGAACAGCACTTACTAACCCATACTAATTAGAACAAAAAATATCTCAATGAGAGTGACGAATTCAAATAAATAAAAATCTTTTATTGTAGGAAGTGCAAACAGAAATTGGACAGTTATGGAAAGAGTGTCAGTGGACTGGGTTCAAGCAGAATTAATAGTAGTTAGAGGGACTCGGGTGAACACAAGAACACTGTGCTAGAGGGAGAAGCTACAGTTCATTTCCATGCAGTTGCTAGACTGGTGTTGCTAGATCTAGTTTTTAACTGGAACAAAACAAATACACACACCTGGAGGCCAGTTATGGCCAAAGACCACCAGTTTCTGGCCCTTGCTTTAATGCTTAAAACATGGATGCTGCAGATCCTAGGCAGAATGCACTTGCTCTTCTCCTTCCTGTTTTCCCTAGAATCCCAGATAGCAGTCAGGATGGTGGAAACTATCCGCTTTCCGGATGGAGTTGGTGGTTGGTGGGTGCAGCTTCATGGTTATTATTACTCAGATTCTTGCCAACTCTGCTACATCTGAGAAAAGCTTGAATTTATACTTCCAACTCCTCATAAGTGAAGTCTCCCTATGTCTCCTGTGATTTCAAGTTAGGTAAGGACTTTGAGGAGAGTGTGTCCTAAAATATTTTTCTACTCCCACGTAAGTTTCTGCATATCCCTAATTTTGTCAAGACCAGAACCTGTGAACCAGTGGACTAATTGTGGTTATGAAAAATAGTGTCCAGGAGAAGAAGAAAACTAGGAGAATATCATGATTCCAAAGTCAAGGGAAGACAGTGTTTCAGGAATGGAGATGAATACAGTTGAAAAGTCAAATGGAATGAAAAAGTTCTTAACTTTTTATTTTGAACTAATTTTAGACTTACAGAAAAGGTGCAAAAAGATCTTCTGTATATTCTTCAGCCAGTTTCCCCAATGTTAACATCTTACATAACCTCAGTACAATTCTCAAAACAAGGAAATTAACTTGGTACAACATTATGAACTAAATTAAAGACCTTATACAAACGTCACCAGTTTTTTCCACCACGGTCTCTTTTGTTTCAGGACCCTTTCCAGGACTCCACATTGCATTTACTTATTATTTCTCCTTAGGCTTTAGCATTCTATAAGAGTTCCCAGGTATTTCCTTGTCTTTCATGACCTTGACAGTTTTGAAGAGTATTGATCAATGACTTTTTGGAAAGCCCTTCAATTTCAGGTCATCTAATGTTTTTTTCAGGATTGGAATGAGGTTATGCATTTTCAGCAAGAATATCACAGAAATGATGTTGTGTACTTCTCAAGGCAAAATATCAAGAGGCTCATGATATAAATATGTCTTGTTACTGATGATGTTTAGCTTGATCACTTGGAAGGTGGTTTCTGCTGAGTTTCTCCATTATAAAGTTACTCTCTTTCCCTTTCTGCTAAAATGTATCTTGGGTGAAACACGCTGAATCTATACAAATCCTCTTGCTCCTCAATTTTTTACCCATTAATTTAGCATCCATCGGTGGATCTCGTCTGTAACAGTTATTACCACAGTGTTTGCTTAATGGTGATTTTGTTATCCTTCTTTCCTGCAACATTTATTAATAGGAATTCTACTTTAAGAAAGAGCCATCTCTTCTCCCCTATTCATTTAAATAACCATTTATCTATATAAGTATAAATAAGTATCTTATTTATATAAGATACTTAAAAATAAATATCTTTGGGTCTATGGCTGATAATGTAATACTATGATTATTTTGTTGCTTTGGCCATTAGGAACTCTTTCAGGTTGGCTCCTGTGTTCTTGTGACATCCTTTTTGGAGCACTGTTGTCCAAAACCACAAGATATTCCAGGCTCATCTTGTATGTTCCTTGTCTCAGTCCGGGAATCAATTATTTCTCCAAGGTTCTCCTTATTCTTTCCATTGGAGAATGGTGTTTAGAAATCAAGATCTGGGTAGTAGGTATCCTCACTGCTTCCAGATGCTCTCAGCAGAGAACTAGGGAATATATGTATTTAAGCCACACGTACACCAATCTATATTTCTGCAGCTATCGTACATATATTAAAAACCATCAATTGGGGATGGCATGGTGGTGTAGTGGTTAAGTTCACGTGCTCCAGTTCGGTGGCCCGGGGTTCACAGGTTCGGATCCCGATCCCGGGTGCGGACCTAGCAGCGATTGTCAAGCCACAGTGTGGCAGCATCCCACATAAAATAGAGGAAGATTGGCACAGATGTTACCTCAGCGACAATCTTCCTTGAACAAAAAGAGGAAGATTGGCAACAGATGTTACCTCAGGGCCAATCTTCCTCACAAAAAAACAAAGCAAAACAAACAGAAAAAACCATGAATTTATACTGCCACCTCAGATTCCATTCCAACACCACAGGCTTCATTTAGCTTTTCCCTTTTCCTTATTGAATAACTTTTTTCTCCAACAATGAGAAACTCAGCTCATGATCTACAATACATTTATTTATTGAATTCTAGCATACACATTAAGTAGTTTCAAATTGCTAACGTACACTCCCTGCTCTGAGAAACACTTCGTATGTGGAGCACAGCAGTTACGTACAGTTCAGTTGGTCTCATTCGTAGGTATCCAGTCAGGATACTGTTTCCCTCAGTTACTTTGGTGAGTTCTTTTCTTCCCCACTCACTGCAGAGTGGCTGTTACTCATTTGTTGTACATGATTAAGTTCATTCCTTAGTGTTCACAGTTTTGGGTCCCCCACCCACACATCTTTGTTTATTGCTTTATTATTGGCAATAAAATACATATCCTAAATTGACTGCACAAAGTTTCCTCAAAATGATCATTAAAGAATAATCTGTATGTTTTATTTTCTAATGTATTTTAAACATTACCCTAATAAAATTAAATATTGCATGTTGAATGATTGTGAACAATATTTACAGAAGGCCAAAGAGACTCCTCCATTTAGATAGAAAACAGAAAATGTTACAGTGAACTGTAAAATAAAATCAAGACGTTTCTAGAAAAGATTAAATCTCTGAGGCGAAGAATGTACAAAGACTTTTAATTAAGAATATAGGGTTATTTTAGAGATTGGAAACAACTGGACTTCAGTGTGAAAGTCACAGATGAAGGATGTAGAGAGTTGTACATGAGAAGTTCTAGGAGAGATGCAGGGAGCAGAATAATGCCCTCCCCCAGGAATGTCCCCAGAACCTGTAAACACGTTAGGTTATGTTGCAAAGAGGACTTAAAAGTTGCAGGTGGATTTAAAGTTGCTAATCAGTTGATTTTAAAATAGGGAGATTATCCTGGATTATCTGGATGGGCCTGATGTAATGACAAAGATCCTTAAAAGGACGGATTGGGTCGGATGTGACCTGAGAAGGTCCCAACCTGCCACTGCTGGCTTTGAAGATGCAGGAAGGGAGACAATAACCAAGGAATGCAAGCAGGAAAAGGAAACAAATTCTTCCCCGGAGGCTTCAGAACGTAAGGCAGCACTGCCAACACCTTGGTTTTAGCCCAGTTTGAGACGGGTGTCAGACTTCTGACCTACAGAATTGTGAGACAATAAATTTGTACTGTTTAAGCCACTACATTTGTGGTAATTTGTTAGCACAGCAACAGAAAATGAATACAAGAGGCAACCTACATTTGAACATAAAGGACTCTACAACTTGGTCCCTCCTTAGCTTACTGACTTTTCTCCCTTTATTCTTTTCCTTTTGGTCTATGCTCCAAACAGTCAGCTCATTGTCACTCAAATATCACCTTAGTTGGTTTTACATGCTTATTTTTGGGGAGTATGTGAAACATTATTATGTCAGTCCTGTACAAAAATATTTGCCACTCTCCGGTCAATCTTGCTACTTTGTTTCCATTCCTCCCCTTCTTCCCACTCTTCTCATATAGGACTTTAATCACTTTAATTTCTGGTTTATCTTTGTATTTCCCCCCCCCCCCCCCAACAAATGAGAGATACTCCTGTGTTTTCTTATGTCCCCTTCTTTCTTACACACAGGGTCGAATAGTATACTTTTGCCATGAAGCAAAACTAACTTTTTAAAGTCCAGTGAATTTAGCCCAGGAAGGCTACTTAATGACCTTAGGCAAATGCTGTTCTGTTTAAGCGCTAAAGACCAGATTGAAATGAATTAAAGCATAAGACGTGAAGGCGCTGAGATAGCATAGCTAACTTTCAGGAAGTGCTAATCCTTACCTGCAGTTGGGCTGTAAATGTGGGTAGTAGGGGGCTCAAACTACGGAGTTGGCACAGACAAATCAATTATTCACTTTTCAGAGGCTCACTGGGTGGGTGTGAGGATAGGGAGATATTTCCGATGACAGGTCTCTGTCTTCCCAAGTCCTTGAATCCTAAAGCCTTGAGTTAGGCATCTTGCCTAACTATGCCACAGCATCGCGATGTTGGTCCCTGAGCCTAAAGGGGAGCCCCAAACTACCGTCTAAGAGTGACTGTAAACAGCAGGCATTTCCTCGACGACGTACAAGCCCACTCAAAGGGGCCAGAAACGATAAAATATCACACCTGAGCCTATCCTTTCCCTCCAGTGATCTCATCAACGTTCGGTAGCCCCTAACAAACTAAGCACAAGCACGCTCCAATCTCCTGCCTACGGGAACGAACATTCCCAGGATCCCGGGCCGTTTCGATTGACGTTACTTCCGGGAAAAGTAACCTTTCTTGGGCGGTTGCAGGCCTGGAGAGGTCTCGCGACACTTGCTCCCGCGAGATCTGCTTGCTCACTCTAGCGATGACATCCTCCTCCTCCTCCCCGCCGCCTTTCGGCAATCTTCGCCAGTCCCAGCCCCGACCAATCTGCACTCAGATGGCATAGATCAGGGTCTCCCCACGAACCCCGGTCCGCGCGGGGCGTCAGGCGGCAGCGGCGGGGTGCGAGCTGCACGAGGCCGACGGCAGCGGCACTGCGGGAGGCCACGGGCTGGAGACGAGCAGTGAGCGTGGGTGGGGCGGGGGTAAACCAGCCGAGTAGCGGCTCGATTGTTCTGGCCTGGCTATGGCGCCTCTCCTCCCCCCCGCCATGGCTCCCCGTGTCCCTGCTCCGCTCCTCTCAGTGAGTGAAAGTGGCCGCCGCCGCCGCCGGCCCAGCGCCCGCAGCCGCCTCAGCGCCGCCGCCATCTTGGGGTCCCAGGAGCCGCCGAGGGAGCGAGCTAGGAGCGTCCACGCCCAACGCAGTCACCGTCCCACGGCCTCAGAGAGCGAACCGCGGCTCCACCGTCGGCGGGGCGACCCCCCCCTCCGGACCCCGCCCGCACCCCGCCCCCCCTCCGCCGCCGCCGCGGCGGCGGGGCCCGGCGGCCCGAGGTGAGGCGACCAGACGTGGGCGGGCGAACGGAGGGGGGGTGGTGTAGGCCCCGTTGCGCCCCTCTCTGCGGGCGACGACTGGGCCGCGTCTTAAAGGGGCCGTAGCCCCCAGCCCTTGGATTTGTTGGGGTTAGTAGGGAGGATGGGTGTGGACACTCCCCGCAGGGTTGGAACCTCAGGGACCTGGGCCTCGTCCTTCCCCTCTCTTACCTCTGGAGACCTGGGGTCACGCGGTGACCTCAGCCAGCCGAGGAAGCCCGTGGGGCGCCCACACGTGGGGAGTGTGTTAGACCAGGTGCACGTGGGACCTGGTGGGGCGGTGTCGGGCTAACACGTGTGTGGGTTTGGGGGTGGGGTGGGGTGGGGCAGGGCAGGGCGGGGGCTGGTTGGTCTCGAGTGGGAACCCGGGGAGGGCTGTATCTGCCCTTTTAAAAGATATCTAAGGGTTTGATAGTGTGTCAATTTATGGGGAGCAAGTTGGGATATGGGTGAATGGTGCATGCTGCTTGTTCATGTTGAGTGGGGGCAGCCTAACACGTGCACAGACTTGGGAGTGTGTAGGTGACACCTCTTCTGATCTTCTAGGCTTTTGTAGGGCATGTAGGCAAGTGTCATCCTACTTTGACTTTCCTTCTTGCTAATGAAAACTAGTACTTCCGTAATCACCCGGGGTGGAAGCCCCCTACAGTTTAGGAGTGATAGAGCCTAAGGAGACACTCACTTAGGCCAGTTAGTTAACACCTAACTGTGCCTAAATGTTTCTTTGATTCATACACTGACTAGTTTTATGGTCGTACTTGGTAGGAATGGCAGAAGGAATGAGGAGGTCGAGCTCCTTAACATCACAGGTAACCAGCTTACTTTTCCAATCAGTGACTTTCCTGACATCCTTTCCCAAGGAAATTTTCATTGTGGTTTACTGGTGACGGCTTTTTATTTATTATTTTTTAAGTAATAGCTTTATTGAGATACAATCCACATACCAAAAAACTCCGTCTTTTAAAGTGTACAGTTCCGTGCTTTTTAGTATATAGTACTCAGAGTTGTACAGCTATCACCACTCTCTGTTCATTACCCCCAAAAGAAGCCCCTTAGTGGTCATTCCTCATGCCCCTCGCCCCCTAGGCCCTAGCAACTAGTACTTTATTTTCTGTCTTTGTAGATTTGCCTTTTGTGGATATTTTGTATAAATGGTATCATACAATATGTGTCCTTTTGCGACTGGCTTCTTTCGCTTAACGTGTTTTCAAGGTTCATCCATGTTGTAGCATGTATCAGGACTTTCTTCCTTTTTATTGCCAAATAATATTCCATTCTCATTGTGCTTTATGCTTGAAATTCTCAAGCTCTTTCTATAAAATGATGATTCAAGATTATTATATATGGTAAAAGTTGTATACTTGATTATAAAATGAATTTGTGTTTTTAAGGATTAAATTCCATTATTTTAGTTTACTTTGTTCTTTTCCTCTACATTTTGTTTCGGAAGAATCTGAACCAATTTTTGAAGATCTGTGTCTTTTAATAGGAAATAACTGTAAAGAGCACAAATGTGACGAGAAAAATTTATGACTAATAAAAACTTCTTGAGTACATCAAGGTGGAAATGTGATTGTCTAAGCAACAGACCATAAACTATGGTGTTATAATTTCACTTAATGAAAGTTTGTCATAGCACTCCTAACGGTATCATAACAGCTTTTGACTGCCGTTACTTGTGTAGACATAGGGCTGGGGAAGGAATAATAGACACCTCTTCTTCCCACAAGAAGATTAAAACTGGCTTGGGGGTTTAACATATCAACATACAAGTTCACACAAAATATAAATGTTGGAATGCAGTGAGTTTTAGAGTGGTCACAACTGGATAGGGTTAATAGGAAACTTTGAGTTTGTGTGGGAAAATAAATGAAGTTGATGACAAGTTTTAAAGTTGCACAAGAATTTTGATGTGATAGGCTTAGCATGCAGAGAATGAGAAGAGCACAGTCATTAATTACTAAACACCTTTTGTGGGCACTGATCCTAATCATGAGGGCTCCCATCCCAACTAATACCATCACCTTGGGGGTTAGGATTTCAACATATGAATGGGGGGCGCGAATAAACATTCAGATCTTGGCTATACATTGTCAGAAGTTCAGTTACAGAAGCATTGAATTCACTTGCTAATCATCATACAGTAGGTTTGCTTAGGGTTGAAAAGTTGGTCACAAAAAAGCTTAATGCCTGGGTTTAATAAGTACGTAAGAGAGGTTTCCATATGTGTTAGGTCAGAAGTAGGAGATCAGTAATAGTAGATATAGTTGACAAATTAGATATAAGAAAATCACTGGGAGTAAATGGTATCCATATTTTTAATGGACTAGAGGACAGTGAATAAACTGTGTATGTAACTTGCCTTTATAAACTTTTACTACCAAGGATTGACAGATAGCTCGTGTGATGGTCTCTAGAGCAGGGTTCTTATATTTTTTATGTGCTCTGGACCCCTTTGCAGTCTAAAGAAGACTGTGAACCCCTTCTCAGAAGATGACTTTGTAAAAAATTATTTATTTATTTCTGCTTTTTCTCCCCAAATCCCCCCAGTACATAGTTGCATATTAATTTTAGTCCTGGGTCCTTCTAGCTGTGGCATGTGGGACACCGCCTCAGCATGGCCTGATGAGTGGTGTCATGTCCACACCAAGGATCCGAACCGGAGAAACCCCCAGCGTCAAAGCGGAGCACGCGCGAACCAAGCCACCTGGCCACGGGGCCAGCCCCAGAATATGACTTTTAAATGTATAAAATGTAGCACACATATTTAAAAAAACAATTATGAAGTAAGAAATTTGCTTTTTATTGAATTAAATAACAACTAGTGATAGTCCTGCTAATACTGCTGTGGTGTGCTGCCTACATTCAGACTTGAAAGGAATGCTAATTTTAGTTATATGTTAGTGAAAATAAGAATGTAAATTTTTTTCCATCTGAGATCATGGACCCTCGTATAAGAACCTCTGCCCTACAGAGTCTTGGATACCTAGCTAAGTTATTGCATATGGGACAAAACAGTGGTTTCCGTGACAATATTATTATTGTTATTAGGATTATTGACTCTTAAATTCATGTTCACAAGAGTGTAAACATGTATTCTTACAGGAAGAGCAAGTAATAGTTTAGCTAAGGACAAACCTGGTAGTATAAGGGAAAGACATTGGTTTTTGACTTGAAAAGACTTGGGTTTGAGTCTCACTTACCTTTGGGTAAGTTACTAAACTTTTTTGAGTTTCAGTTCTCCTTTTCTGTAAAGTGGGTATAATAATTTTCACTTTTGAGATTAAATGACTTTAATTATAAGACAGCATATTGATGAATGTTAGTTTATTTTCATTTTTGAAGAAATAACCATACCGAAGACTCTGCTATACATTTAGTTTGGGAAGAGGGGACGCTATTTGTTATGTGGTAGAAAGGAACAACATGTATGGCATATTGGGTTTTCTCAGGATATTCAAGGATAGAGTTCACCTTTTGATAATGATACTAAAACTGTTCTTAATTCTTGTAAAAGGACAAATAAGGTGCCTCTGGGTTTGTATATGACGGCTAGGTTTTCTGGGCCAGAAATTAGTAGCTATGCAGGATAAACTGTGGGTAAATCTTTTGTATCTTTGTGGATGAACAGAAAAATGGCTAGTGAGCATCAATGTGGTTTAAAGAATGCTAGGCCAAGTGGTCAGTTTTATCGCTGAGAGTGTTGCCTGAATGGCCAATGAAATGTTAGTCATTCCCAAGAGAGGTATGAAAAATAAAATTTAAAAATGGACCGCATTATCTTGGTATGAAACCGCAGTATATCCACTCTTAGACTGTTGAATGGATCCCAGTTATTGTACCTCAAGCAAGAACAAATTAATCAGAAGGGAAGTTTCCAGAAAATGGCAGTGTAAATGATGAAGGCAATGGTGAGGCTTTCACATGAAGATAAAGAAATTTCACTCCACAATGGAGTGATGAAAACTGAGATCGACCATGATTAAATTGTATTGAATTAGGAAAAATAATCCTGGGAAATTACAACTAGCTTGAAAGATGAATATTGTTTGGCAGGTGTATAATGATTGGTTTTGTTTATGAAACTTACTAGCACAGAAGGTGGTTAAGGCTCAACAACAGACCAGACACAATTTAAGGGTTACTAAGACTTTTCTGATTCAGCCCTAGTTTAGGTCAACAGACCATTTAATGATACTTGTATCTAATGGTTTATGAAACCTCATCAGTTCATTCATTTACTCAATAAATATTTATTGAACACCTAGTGAATGCTTTTTGATCCTCCCAACAATAATTTGTTGAGCATCTCCATACTCAAGGGACTGTGGTAGACTCTAGGGGTATACAAGTGAATTGATCCAGTTGTATGTGCATATATAGAGAGTACAGAGGGGCTTTGCAAAGATAAACATACAATTATGTAAACTCTAAGTACCATAGAGAAGTATAAACCTAAATGTTTCTCTTGAGGTGCTGATATGAATTACTAGTACTTAGTTTTTGTTTTAAATACTGAGACGTTCTTTTGCTTTGTTTAAAGGCCCTAATCTGCCTTGTTAACAGAAGCATTGTAATCCAGTGGCAGTGTAGTATAGCCAAACCCCATCTAGATCCTAGAGCCAAATGACCTGGGTTCAAATTTTAGCTTTCCCTCTTATTAACTGTGTGGCCCCTGGAAGGCTATTTTTTTTTTTTTTTTTTTTAAAGATTTTTTATTATTTCCTTTTTCTCTCCAAAGCCCCCCGGTACATAGTTGTATATTCTTCGTTGTGGGTTCTTCTAGTTGCGGCATGTGGGACGCTGCCTCAGCGTGGTCTGATGAGCAGTGCCATGTCCGCGCCCAGGATTCGAACCAACGAAACACTGGGATGCCTGCAGCAGAGCGCGCGAACTTAACCACTCAGCCACGGGGCCAGCCCCCCTGGAAGGCTATTTAAGCCTAATTTCTTCATCTGTTA